TGGATGGCTTGACAAATGCACTTTTGACTGCTGCGATGGCGTTTCTGACATTGACGTCTACAATACCGCACTACCTTGCATCCTGAGCACTGCATAAAAGCATTGACCAGGCGTAGCAACTTTCTGACAATTCAAACGTTTGTGGGACATACTGAAGATGTCCTTAGGTGGGGCTACTTACGTCCCTCGGTTGCAGCCCTCGTCTGTTTTCTTGACCTGATTTTTCACTGCTTCTATACCTTTTGACGACAGCCACGAGCCGAGTGATCACTGCTACCACAAACATGACAATGGTAACACAACTTCCCTCTCCCTCCTGCTTGACAACTGGGACAGCTTATTGGTCGTTGATCCACTGCTGATTCTGATATCCTGGTGAGGCCTCAGAAATCCGTCCTGGATTAGCTTCATTCCTTTTCACTGATTCTAGCTTCAGGGTGGCGATCAGCTTGTGGTGCAGCCATGAACTTCTCTTTCCTCGACCTCTCTTTCTCAGCTACTTTCACCTTTAGGTCAGTCGCTTCCGGTTGAGCAACCCCCTCTACTCGTGATACATCAACCTCATTAACCGTGGAACTTTTTTTACCGTCAGGGGATCCTAACTTGGATCTCGTCTCCATATCCCATGACACCACGACATTCGTGAGCTTGATTAAGTCTTCATCCTGTACCCCCGGTTTTGTAAAAAGAGCCTTCATCTACTGCGGATTGAATGCTGCATAAGATTTGTATCTACTGCAAGAGAAAATATCCCCTGAACCAGGTTAGGGTCGCACTTAAGTGCAGTTTCTACTTTGTGGCAAAAAGTATCCTTTTTTTAGAGTCCAAGTTCTGATAGGAAAGTTTTTGTGGACTCCCCTGTTGCTCCTGTTAATTTTTGTTAAAGTTCCGTTGCACTCTTCTCCTGGTAAAGAGATCTCAAGAGGTGTCTTAACCAAGACAGAGTCAAGTCTCCCAGCCCTTCTAAATAACTTTTCAGTCTCATCCCAGAGTTAATGGCCATAAAACAGCATCTACAACTTCGGAGGACTTATACACTTTGTTTATCGCCCCTTCAATTTGTCTCGCTAGGCTCACAAAGCTTAGTTTTTCTTTCTGTCCAAGCTCCCCTGTCTGGCCATTTATTTTCAGCTCCGTTCTGAAATCACTAGGCTGGAAGTAAAACGATTTTCCGGCTACCAATTTCTGTTTACTCTCTTCAAAATTCTGCTTACTATCGTTTAATTCGTGCTTACCATTTTTCGGCGGTGACTGAGAATTGCCTACTGCTGGCTTTTCCAGTGACGGACATTTCGGGCTCTATATCACAATTTGGGTCTTACACTCCTCCAAGTGCTCTATTTTGTCCTCGGTAGATCCTTGTAATTTCAACTGATCTTCCAGTCGCAGTTCGATTAATGTCACCTGTTTTTTCCGACCTTTTCCCCCTCAACTTCGCTTTGGCTACATTCTAAGTCTTTAGCAATTCCTTTGAGGTCCTCCACACCAAGCTGGCAAAGGTAGCTTTGAACTTGCATATATTTGTGCATCATCGACCTGCATTGTTTGCTTCGTTTGATCAAACCACTACCCTCAGCTCCTCGCGACCATTCGCCACCGTTCCCGGCAAGTACATGAACTCGTTCCTCAATGCTTTTTCGTTTGCTTTCTTCCTCTCTTGGACAGGCCCCCAAACAAACATCGCAAAACAACAAGACGAGAACAATATGGCGGACTCTCACAACAATACAAACCTCGTGCGTTTTATTAGCCATACGTACTTAAGTTACAATTGCATTCTTGAGGCGGGGGGAGGGTCTTATTTCCTACTCGCTACATTTGTAAGAAATGAAAATCATCCCAGCTGATGGGCAATATGCAGTCAAGGTTGGAATGAGGGATCAGCAGACATGCGCATGCCCGCAAAAAGCTGACAGTAGTCTCTCGGGTTATGGGTGGAATGCAGGATGGCAAATGTACCCTATAAGAAAAGTCCTATAAGACGGAGGACTCTGCCATCGTCAGGTATTAATTATCGGGATACCATTAAACCCTTACCTAGACCTTGAGACAATAATATATCACAAGGAGAATGAAAACAACCCAATAAAATCCTGGCCCACGAGGCTCGTTGAATAAGAAAATGGATGTCCGGATTATGAGTCAGGACAATGTGCTAACACCAATTGACACAGAAATCAACAAAGTCAACCGGACCGGCGAGCCCGCTTACCTTCGTCGCAGTTTTCGCCTTTGAAACCATCACGGCAAATCCATCGGTAGCACTTATCTCCTTGGCCTACCTTACAGATGGAATTCTTTCCAGGGCGTGGGACACTGTGAAACAAGTTCTGTTGAAAAACAGAATTTAATTATTCAATAAGATCTTCTTTCCTCGGACCAAATAATCCATGAACGTATACAATTATAAAAATAGGATGCGAGGTTATCATTGTTAGTGATGTTGATTACTTGCCAAAAAGTTTGCTGATGTCTCTCTTTCTTTTTTACGTCTTAATTT